ATTTTCATAATAAGATTTTGTTTGCCTTTTCCACTTTTATTCTCTCACAAGTGTTCAGCGGAGTTTTCCAGAAGCTACAGGTTTTGTGACGGTGTGACAGATTGCATGCAGGAGCAGATATGAGAGTTCAGCTATCTTCCTTTAAGCCAGGCATTGAAAACACTTGCAAAAATGGAAAACAATGCCAGTAGTCTCATGAAAGTTTTTGTTTTGAAAAATGGTTTGTTTTTCTTTAAAATGTTATTTAGGTTAACACAGAATTGGTTCACTATTATTTTAAATGAATTTCTCCTTTTAGATTTCTAATATGGTAACTTTGGGTAGATATACATAAACTAAAGCTCTTTGAGGTCCCCAATAAGCTTTAAGACTATAAAGAGGTCCTGAAAACAAAAACTTTGTGAAGTGCTTCTTTACGATGATCACACCACTGGACTGTATCTGATTTTCAAACTCAATTCCTGAAAAATCTAAGTAGGCCAGAGCAAGTCTTTGTAAACGCCTCCTACAGGCCTCTGAGAACAGGCATCTCCAACAGCAACAAAAAGGCCAATATTCTGGATGCAGCCTCCCTTTTTAAGGTTGATCAAACTTACCACAACTATCACTTTCCAAAGTGTCAGCTAAAAAAAGAAAGCCATAAAAGCCCAAGTAGAATTACTAGACTTTTCAGCGCCAGCTCCAAAGGCAGAGTGTCTGTGCTTCTGTCCTCCTTTGTCTGCCGACCAGCTGGAGCAGACCCTGATGTGGGACACCCCATGGAAACACCCCAGTTTTTCACTTGCTGGCAGAGCCTCAGGTTTATCTCCCACAGAACTCAGGGGAGGGTGATCCTATTCCCAGTGTCTCGGGGAACACCTGTCTGGTCTCACACTATCATGGTGATATCATTCTTCCAGGCAGATGTTTTAGGGGTGGGCATGGAACTTGGCTCTGGTGAATATGACATGAGGAAAGGTCTGTTGGGGACTGTGGGAAAGCATGGGGCACAAGGGGTGAGGTTTTCTCTGTGACTGTGGATATTGCCATGTGTGGAAGT